CTTCTCCATTGACCGCGTGTTTCGGAACGAGACCCTGGATGCCACGCACCTGGCCGAGTTCCACCAGATCGAGGGCGTCGTTGCTGACCACGGCCTCACCCTGGGACACCTCATGGGTGTCCTGCGGGAGTTCTTCTCCAAGTTGGGTGAGCAGGCGACTGGCCCCGTGGTGCTGAGGGCACTGGGAGGGTGCTGGGGTCACCAGCCTGACTCCCACCCCCACAGGTCTCACCCAGCTGCGCTTTAAGCCCGCCTACAACCCTTACACTGAGCCCAGCATGGAGGTGTTCAGCTATCACCAAGGTACCCCTGGCTGAGCCAGGTCCCCCACACTGCCGAGCCCCCAGCCCACTTGCCCAACTCACTGCCAGGCCCAGCCCGCCACACGCTGCCCTGTCTTCTGTATCCCACACCCACAGGCCTGAAGAAGTGGGTGGAAGTGGGGAACTCTGGGATCTTCCGCCCTGAGATGCTGCTGCCCATGGGGCTCCCTGAGAATGTGTCGGTCATTGCCTGGGGCCTCTCCCTGGAGCGGTGAGTACTGTTTGGCTGCCTCAGGCAACTTCATGTGTCCTTTCCTGGGCAACCTTGCGTGCCTGGCCCTGGGCTGTGAACCGAGAGCTCACAGCCCTGCCTCCTCTGAACAGGGGAGCAAGGATGACTAGCAAGATAAATAAGTAAACTTAGTAAATGAGATCCATGAAACCAGAGTGTCCAAGGACAGCAAGTATTGGCAAGGACAAAGCGGAAGGGCTAAGGAGACTGCTGGGGACGGCTTTGTGGAGCACTTGGCCTGAGCAGGTTGGAGATAGAAGGGGTGAGCCAGGGGGATCTCTGGGAAGGTGTTCCACACAGCAGGTGGAGCCAGTGCAAAGGCCCTGAAGCTGGACTGGTGTCTTTGGAGAACCTCAGGGAGGAAGGGGTGGCTGGAGAGAGGGGGAAGAGATGAGGGAGAGGAGGCAATGTGCAGGACCTTGTGGGCCACAGAGAAGATGTTGGCTTTTACTTTGAAGAAGCTGAGAACCTTCAGAAAAATTCTGAGCAGGGAGCATGACCTGACCTGTTTTAAACTGTGACCCTTCCTCCCCAAGCCCGACGATGATCAAGTACGGCATCAACAATATCCGCGAGCTGGTGGGCCACAAGGTGAACCTGCAGATGGTATATGACAGTCCCCTGTGCCGCCTGGACACGGAGCCAAAGACCCCACAGACACAGGCCGCATGACACAGGCTGCCCCAGGATCGCCCATCCTCCCTGGGTCCCTGCCGCTCAGCCTTTTTACATTCTTCATCAGTGACCCCCTTGTATTTATGAGGCCTCCGTGAGGCCAGTCCCCCTCCCGCCTCTGCACCCATCCCAGAAGCAGGCCCCAAGGGGTGGGTGGCAGCTTCCTTCTGTTGGCCTTCTGTGGTCTGCTGATCTTATGAGGTGGGCCAGGGGAGCCCTGGAGCCCAGCTGTGTTAATAAAGTGGGCACTTGCCCTCATCTGGTGCCTTTCTTCAGGGGCCCCATGTGTCGCTCCATGGGGAGGACATGGGATAATGGGTCCCTGGATGTGGGTGGTGGAGGTGAGTAGAGTAGAGGGACCTGGGAGGCCCTGCCGGCTCCACCAAGCCCTCCTCTAGGTGAACGGAACAGAAACTCCCTGTGCCGGGGACGCCACTGGAGGTCCAGAGGCCAGACTCCCTGCCAGGCAAGGAGGCTGGTTCTGTGTGTGTGGTACAGGGGACTGAGCCCAGGGCCCACTACATGCTAGGAAGCGCTCTACTGAGCTACAACCCAGCCTTTTTTAAAAAATTGAAATGGGGTCTTGCCGAGTTGCCCAGGCTGGACTCAAACTTGTAATTCTCCTGTCTCAGGTTTTCAAGTAGCTGGGGTTACAGTATATGCCATGGCACTTGGCTGGAATTTTTTTTTTTTTTTTTTTTTAAGGAAATAAAGTAGTTTTATGTTGAGCCAAATATGAATGACCATGGCCTTTCTGGAAACGTGGATTAAAGTTACCCTGAAAGGCATGTTACTGCAGCAGAGGTTACAGCAGGCAGCTTTAATATTCACAGAACAAAAGAAAGTCATAAATTAACACATTTACCAAATACACAGGTAGGAGCGTCAGGAACTGGGCTACTGCAAGGGGGAAGTCTCTTCGGGTTTGAGGTGGGATCTAATAGCATCGGAGCTTTGGGATTGGTGGAGGCTGGAGGTCTGCTCAACTCAGGGTGCTTTCCAAGAGATTTACCTAATAGGACTACGTTGGGTCAATGGCTACTAAAGGGATTAAGATGTGGACCCGCAAGTCCGTCTGTCCAGTCAGCAGGGCCAGTGTGAAGCAGCTTCTCCTCAGAACTTAGGTTCACAAAGAGGGGATTTCTTTGGCTTCTTTTACTTCATTTGCAAAATGAAGAGCACTGAATAAAATATTTGTGGTGGGATTTTAAGCTCTAAAGATCTTGAGTTAATCAGTGGAGAGGTGGTAAGAGCACAGTGGCCAAAATCAGACGGATAAAACAGCTCAACACCAGCACCACCAATTACATTTTCCAACACCCAAATCAAACCCACGATTCTCTGTAAACCAACTGGTTGTTAAAGTATTCAACTCAGTTCTGAAACTAACTACCCATAATTAGCACAGGCCCCACAGGCCAAGGGTTCAATTGGTAGGTCTGTCCCATCAGAGACCAGTCTCAAGCCTGGGGCTACTTGTACTTCTGACCTCGGGTTCCATGAACCTCCTCAGGTTCAATAGTTCGATAGGATGCTCAGAGAATTCAGCATGCTTAGCTTACATTAACGACTCAGAGACAGACAAATGGAAGAGATGCATAGGGCAAGATGGGGCTGGGGGTGATGACATGTAGCTTCCAAGTCTTCTCATGTACTCTTTGGAACCGTCCAGGTACCAAACTGGAAGTTCTCTGAACATGACTGTTCAGGAGTTTTGTTTGTTTTCAATACTGGGGACTAAATCCAGGCCCCATAATACTAGGCAACCACTCTCACTAAGCTACCCCTCAGCTCTTTTTATTTCAAGACAGGGTCTTGCTAAATTGTGGAGGCTGGCCTTGAACTTGTGATCATCCTGTCTCAGCCTCTCAAGAGAAGATGGTTTTCAAGAGTTTTTATAGAGCTTAATCTCCAGTCCTCTCTCATTCTGCCCCTTCAAGAAGATCAGTGGATGGGGCTGAAAGTTCCAGTCCTGGTTCACTAGGTCTTTCTGCCAACCAGCACAATCTAGACACCCCACCCTCTGTCACCTTATTAGCATAACAGAATTTTTTTAGGCAGGGAATGGGGAGATGCTAGGGATCAAACCCAGGGCTTTGCACATGCTCAACAGTAAGCCTTTGAGATTTTTCTGTGTCATCCTCAAATCTTCAAACCCCAGGCTGCAGGAAGTGCATTTTGTTCAACTTGTGGCTATTTGCCGAATCTTTATTTTTTATCAGATGTTTTTCCCTGGAGCTTTTAAACAGCCTCATTTTTGCTTTTTTCACCCTGGTAATAGAATGAGGATAGATTCTGAGATTGAGTGGTACTTTTGTGATCACACTGCTGGTAAGAGTCCAGATTCAAACTCACCTTCAGAGTGTGGGCATCAAGATGTGTCCTAGTCAGGGTATGGCTAGGGACAGATGCTGAGGCAAAACAGGTAAGCAATGTCATCAGATTCATGCTACATCCTCCCTGACATGGACATTGCAATATATCACTGGTGAGAGGCTCCATTTCTTTTATTTTTATTTTGAGACAAGAATAAATTTCTGAGGCTGGCCTCAAACTTTCAATCCTTCTGCCTCAGCCTCCTGAGTAATTAGGATAATAAGTATGTACCACCTTGCTGGGCTCCTCAAACTCTATCGAACAAAACCTCCCACAGATCTCTGCTTTCCTGCTGGAAGACCTCATGGCTGTTCCTTTACATTGACTGCTTTCATCTCACAACCTTTGCATACACCTGTTGGAACCTTTTGCTCATTTGTGTGTGTGCATGGGTGTGGTGCTGGGGACGAGTCCAGGGCTGTGCACATGTGAGGCAAGTGCTCTACCATTCAGCTACATCGCAACATATACCACCCCTTTTCTTGAGATGGGTTTTGCTATGTTGTCCCACAGGCCCTCGATTTCTTAGCCTTAGCTTCCCCCAGTAGCTGGGACACAGGCATGTACCACCAAGCCCATTCCCGTTTTTATAACCATCTTACTGGGTTGCAAAAGTTCTTTGTAAATGCAGTATACAAGTTCTTTCATAAACAAATATATTTGCAAATATTTTCTCCCCATCAGGCTCTCTGTACTAATTGTTGATTACTGCTGTTTCTGCTGTTATTAATAAGCGGCGCCACACTGTGGAGGCAAACCCCACATTGCTTTCAAGGAGCTTCTAGTTGAACTAATTTACAGTTGTAAATGGACAACTCAGTACTGGGATCTAAACCCAGGGGCGCTCTACTGCTGAGCTGCATCCCCATCCCTTTTTGAGACAGGGTCTCGTAAAGTTGCCCAAGCTGGCCTCGAACTTACCATCCTCCTGCCTGAGCCTCCGAGTAGCTGAGGTTACAAGTGTGCGCCACCAAACCTGGCTGCATAAACTTTCACACCGAGGATAATAGGGAGCCATGGTCATAATCAAGGGACGTCAAGGGCCGGAATCCTTTATTGGAAAGGTTTCTCCACGTAGAATGGACGAAATGAGCCGTACAGAATGAACACCACGCACACGGTTCCCCACAACCCGGGCTGCACGAGGCGCCCTGGAGTTTCCCGCATGCGCAGACCTAGGTGCTAAAAACAATCTTGCCCCCCCCAGCGGCTCCAGCTGCGTGCGCAACTCCTGGACAGCTCAACCGCCATTTAACGGCCAGTCACACGGGCTGCGTGCGCAGGTTCTCGGTGGGGGCGGGGCCTGGAGGGTGAGCTTCAGCACGTGCGCAGGGGCGTGCCGGGGGCGGGGCCGGCGCGTGCGCAGAGAGCGGGAGCCTAAAGGCGGGAAAAGGATGGAGCGACCAGGAGTAGGCAGAACTGTTTTCCTTCTCGCGGGCGGAGGGCTGACGGGCAAGGAACGGCGGCGATCCCGGGCTTCCCCAGCAGAACTGATCCCGGCCACTCCTTTCCTACCATCGGGGTCGCCTCTCGCCCGGCCCGGCGTCTATTCCCCACTGACCGGCCAGGCCCTGACTGACTGACGAAGGGACGGTGACTGACGTGCAGACAGCCTTGGCCAGGACAGACTTAGGCGCATGGCGCGCGGCAGCAAGCATGGTAGAAAGAGGCCCAGACACCCGTGCTCTGCCCCTGTTTCTTTTCTTCTCCTTTTCCTACCTCTTCTCCTTCCTGGAAGGACTGGAGCCGACACACGAGCCATTGGGCAGCCCAGGCCCCACGGCGCCCCTCCCAGAGCCTGTGCCCTCACCCCGGCCCCTCCAGGTCTCCCCGCCGGGTCCCCGACCCCCCACGGCCCCCACCCCGCTGCTCCGTCCCCGCGGCACCCACCCCGCTCTGCCCGTCTCTTCCGCGGGTCCCCACCTCGCACACACGGAGGTGCCCAGGGTCGAGGCGGGGGACACGACGCCCGACGCCCAGACGCCCGCGGCCTCTCAGGCGCCGGCTGTGCCCGCAGGTGGACATGCCCCACGTAGAGTTCAAGGACCAGGAGCCGCAGGCGATGGGGGAGCACCAGCAAGGCCAGGAGCACGGCGAAGAGGAAGCTGGTGGAGGGTCAGCTAGGTGAGGAGACCCGCCCAGCGGTCCTTCGGGTCACCCGTTCCTTCCACAGGGTCCCTCCGGTGTTTGTCCTGGTGCTCTTGTTCCACGGGTGGAGGGGACATCCTCCATGTGCCAGGCACAGTTCTGGGAGCTGGGGACGCAGAATGAGCTGACCCCCTAGAGGAGGAGACAGAAAGTCCCCACTATGCATCCCTCTCCTGGGCATCCTCGGGTTTGTTCAGGATGCCCCCTCAGGTACCTGCAGGTGCCCAAGTCCTTCGTGGAACGGTATGTTTGAGTAGAACCTACTCACACCTCCCTTGACTTTAGGTCATCTCTAGGGACTTATAATACCTAACGCAGGGACCCCCTGGAGATAGTGAAGGTTTTGGTTCTAGACCACTGCAGTAACATGAATATTGCAATAGTCACACTAATTTTTTTTATTTACAGTGCATATCAGTTAGATTTGTATGACACTGTAGCCTAAAAAGTGTGCAATGACATCGTGGCAGAAAAAGATAACTTGCATACTTTAATTAAAAATACTTGGGGCTATAGCTCAGTGGTAGAGCCCTTGTTTCACTGTGAAGCACTGGATTCGATCCTCAGCACCACTTAAAAAAATAAATAGATATGGGCTGGGGATATAGCTCAGGTGGTAGAGTGCTTGACTCGCATGCAAACGGTTCAATCCTCAGCACCACACACACACCCAAAAAAAAAGAAAAACAACCTTAATCGTGCAAGGCGCTGTGGCTCATGCCTGTAATCCCAGCGGCTTGAGAGGCTGAGGCAGGAGGATCACAAGTTAAAAGCCAGCCTAAGCAACTCATTGAAACCCTGTCTCTAAATAAAATTTGTTTATAAAAATGGGCTGGGGATGTGGCTCAGTGGTTGAGTGTCCCTGAGTTCAATCCCAGTACCTAAAAAAAAAAAAAACCAAAAAACATAGACACACAATTTCTTTGAGGCCCAATAAAGGGAAGTCCAATGAAATGAGATTTGCCTATTGAATTTAAATGCTATGTAAATAGTTGTCATAGTGTATTGTATTGTTTAGGTAATAATAGCAAGGGAAAAGATCTACATATTCATCAGAGATGAATTTTTTTTTTTTAAATATTTTCATCATTTAATCAGTCTGCATTTGTTTTTTTTTTTTTAAAGAGAGAGTGAGAGAGGAGAGAGAGAGAGAGAGAGAATTTTTAATATTTATTTTTTAGTTCTCCGCGGACACAACATCTTTGTTGGTATGTGGT